GGAGCTTCCCGGGGCGCGGGCACTTACTCCACTAGGACTGGGGGTGATCTCGACTGTGCTGTCGATTTTGCTGCCGCCCCCGCCATTGGGCTCGGGGGTCCCGGTGGCCACCCGGGGAGCCAGCTTGCCGATCACGAGGGCCCTGCTGGCCCGCGCCGAAAGGATGCGCTGTCCTCTGGCCCAATTGCGCGCCCGGGTGCTCGGACACCTCAGGGACCCCCGCTCTGCAGCTCTGCAGCCGCGGGCGCCTCCTTCGTCTCTGCGAAGAGCAGTGCGCAGCTGTCCCCTCCCCTTCCTCCAGACTCTCCACCCCTTCCTACGTCAACAGAACCTTCGGTCCAGACTCTCCGTCAGAAAGAGGGAGGGGGGCCGGGGCTGTGGGGGAGGGAGGGGATGGGGCTCTGTCGTCTGTTCTCTGGGTCTGCGAGCCATTGCAGTAAAACGGAAAGACAGCTGGGTGGATAGAAATGAGCCGAGGAAGCTGCTACCTTTGCTTCCACCTCTTCCCCATCGCCATTGATCCGCTCTCCATCTATGCGCCCTTCTCCATCCGTTCAGCAAAATTCATTAAGCCTCTACCGTATGCCAGGCCCTGCCCAGGCTTTGGGGTCAGAGGATGGCCCAGACCCAGCATGGAAGAACTTCATGGGGAAGAAAGGCAGGCAGAGCAGCAGTTACAGCACGGCAAATGTGTCTAGAGGATCGGTTAGGCATTGTCTCCCAGCTGGGATTTTCAGTTGGCATGTCTTAGGGATTTGCCAGTTCCCCCCCACCCCCCGCCCCCGTTGTCTCTGTTTTTCACCAGCCCTTGGCACTGTTGACCCCTACATCTCCCAAAACTCCTTCTTCCCAGGGCTGCAAAGTCCCACACCCCTCTGGGGTTCATTCTCTCTTTTCTGCACGGAAGAGGCACCATCTTCGTCACCCTCATTCAATGTCGCACAGAGGCTTAGCCCTAGACCAGTGTTTCCCGAAGTGGCCATTCTGGTGGGCTGCAAAAGCAGACTTCCACTTTATCTTGGATTATGGTCCACAGTACAAAAGCGTGCACATGCCAGGATGGAGGGGGCACTAAGGCATTTTTTCTGAGGGGGCAGTGGGCCGAGTATGGAAACCTTTCTCACATTCTCCTCTCTGCCCTGGTGTCTCATCCATGACCCGGGCACCGCCTCAAGCATGACTCTCAGATTCACCTCTCCAGCTCCCACCGCCTTTCTCAGCCCGGGGCCCATGAAGTTACCTCTTTCTCAATGTCTCGCCCCATTGAGTCGTGCACTGGAACCTCGAACTTCCTAGGTCCAAGACCAAACTCATGTTCTTCTGTCTGTGGATGGTACCCTCATCAAAAACCCTCTCTGCCAGGTCTAATCCTTAGCAAGATTCCAAACGGTTTACCTCCTCGATCGTTTTTGGACAGCCTCTTCTCCATCACCATTAGTCGAGCGACCTGCTGCTACACGGACTTGTTGAGCCCCTCGTTCTCAGCTGGTCTCCTGCATCCGGCTTGCTCTGTCATTGACAGTGCAGCTGGAGCGACTGTTTCAAGGTGCAGATCTGATCATGTCCCTCTCAAGCCGGCACTGCCACCTCTTCACGTCATGGCAGGCCCACACTCCCTGACGCTCCCTCTCCCATCTCTTCCCCAGGTCTGTACTCCAGCCCAGGCTTCCTCTGCAACTCAGGCCAGTGCTCCCCATTCTTCAGCTGCGGCCCAAGCATCTTTCTTTCAGGGACTTCCCTAACCCCTAGGATTTCTACTCGAACCCCAGATCACGGACCCACCATATCTGAATCACTCGAGAGTTGGTTAGTAATACAGGATCCCAGGCTTCCTTCAGGCCCATTGAACCGGAACCTGCATCTTAACCAGATGCCAGAGTGTATACACCTGGAAGTTGGAGACACATTTCACTAAGGGGCATGACACCTCCTAGGCGCAGGCAAAAGAGATAAAAGAGATGCCCTCTTCTCTCCACTGAAGCATGCATGTGATGTCTCTCCTGTTCAAAGTCTCCAAATCCCGGGAAACCCTTTGCAATGAGTCACCTCTGTCTAACTCACTTCAGCACAGCCTCAGGATGTACTATGGTGCTGTTACAGCCAACACTCTTTGGGGATTGATTTGCCTCTGTCCCTGCCTTGGAATAATCCCTGAGCATTCTGCGGTGCTGGGCTTCCCATGTGCACTGTCATGTTAGGGTCTCACTGAGACCCTGCTGAACTCTTCCCCCTCAAGATGATACCGGGCTCCGAGCGACTGCTGTAACTGCCACATGGAGGCGTATGCAGAGACTCCGAGTTCTGAAGGGTCTCTTTTAGATTTTCTCTGAAAAATGAGAGGTATGGTCCCCACAAGTATCCCAAGTCAGGAATGAATTTTAGTGGCCCCAGAACCTGGAAATGAGCTCCCGCTTTGTGAGTGGAACAAGAAAGGAAGAACTGATAACAGATAAATGCAAGGGGGTCCCCAGAAACCAAGCTTGTGATAGACAGAGGCCCCTAATACTGCTAGTGTGAGGCCATCACCTTAAGGCAGAACTGAAGTGGCAGATCCACGACTTGGACTTCCTTTGTGATAATGCAACTGGGGTGACACCCCCCCACCCCCCACATTGACTTTTCTCGAAATCCTGAGGATTGCAGGTTTCCAGCACACTAGTCACACGTCACCTCAGGAACTCCAAGTGTATTTGCTCAGAAGCATGGCTACTAGGAAGCCTGGGTGTTTGGGGACACCTAAGGGAGAGGGCTGAGACCAAGGCCCTGAGTTGGGGTGAGCTCTCCAAGATGACCCCTTCTGAGGCTCTGTGTGGTCCACCTTCTCCTCTGAACCTCTATGATATCATGTGACCAGGTGACTGAGGAAAGGCCCCAAAGTCACTGCCTGCCTCTCCCCCTGCAGGTCCCAACCAGTCCTAACATGATGGTCCTTCCCTGCCCGCACCTGGCTCTTCCAGGATCTAGTTCATTTCTGCACATCATCCTGTTTATATCCACCACCACCCACTGCCCGATCGGCGGCAGGCTCATCTGTGGCTGTCCCTCGGCTACCAGCAGTACACCTTCAGAAGTGTGCCTGGCACTTCATGGGAGCAGAATAGATTTGAAGGAGGTTGTTGATGAAAACAAGCAAAAGCGGTCCCCAAACCTTACTGGCACCCTGTTCGCGTGTGTGCCCCTCAGGCCTGTTGCTAGGCCCCCACGGAGCAGAGGCAGCGACTCAGGCAGCAGGGTTTTTTGAGCTGCACACCAGGTCCTGGGGCCCAGCCTGCTCTGGGAAGGTGGAGGCCTGTCCCAGCCCTTCACATTTTGACAGTGTCCTGCCCCTCCACTCAGCAAAGCACCAAGTGCCTCGCTGGCTGACCCCAGGCCAAGAAGCAGGAACAGGAGAGGCTTGTGTGATCCCCAGCTTTGCCACCCGATTCTCTGTGGCACCAAGTTTCCGGAGGTGAAGGTGGCCCTGGACGGACGAACAAACACTGCCCCAGACTGAGTAGAGAAGCAACATGGAGCTCCCTCTGACAAAACAGGGAAAATATTAAATATAAATAATTTATACAAAATGGCTCGTACAAAAAGCTGAGGGCCAGGGGAGGAGACACCTCTGTGAGAGGCTGAGATGACTGAAGAGGCAGGAAAGGGCAAAATGACCTTTGCCTCTTCTAGTCCTTGAAACAGAGCCCTCCGGCCACCAGGGCCCTGTGGTGGCTGTGGCAGGCAGGGGAGGGGTGGGGAGGCGCAGAGAGGGGCTCCTGGACCTCAGGGGGCCAGGCTGGTGAGTAGGGTGGTGAATCGCTGGGCCCGCCCCACCAACTCTGCCACACACTGAGCCATCTCTTGAGCCGCAGGGCTGGATGGGTAGCCCAGCGCGGCCCCCTTGACAGCCAGCACAGTGGCCCGTAAAGCCTGGCCCAGCACGGCGCTGGCAGCGCCAACCTGTGCCCGAAGGGGGGCTGAAGCTGCCAGGCGGTCCAGGGTATCCCCGACAAACACCAGGCGGTGAGCTGCTACCACCACCCGCTTGCCGTGGGGCACGAAGAGGCGAGGGGGCTGGTTGGCACGGCTGCTGGCCAGCAGGGCTGTCACGGCTGCCTGCAGCGTGGAGTAGTGGCTCTGGCACTGCCCTGCGTAGAAGTGCAGGAGCTGCAGGTCTCCGGCGGGCAGCTCCCCGAGGGGCCGGACGTCCTGAGGGCAGAGAGAAGTAGTCGGTGGGAAGGCTCCCTGAGGACCACCTGAAGGGCTTGCTGCTTTTCTGCCTCTCTCCTTCCTTCCGAGAACAGTCCCTTTGCCCTTACCTCTGCCCATCCACTCATCAGACACTTGCCATTTTCCCAGCTGACTTCAGACACGTCTCCTGCTCTCTATCGGGGGAACCTAGCCCGGTCCAGCAGAAACAACGCAATGCAGACCGACCACAGGAGGTTTTTGAGATTTTCTAGTACTCTCACTGAGAGATCCCTGGTGGTGTGGCGGTTACCCGTTAGCCTGTGACCCCCACGGTCGGCGGTTCGGAACCACCAGCAGTACCGTGGGAGTCGCTGCCATTGACTTGATGGGGGCGAGGGAAGTCTGTTTCAGTATTTGATCAATAGAAAAACCGATGTCTTCACAAATCTGGTGGGTAGTTTATATTAACTCTCTTCTCACCCTCTGCCAGCGAGTCGATTCTGACTCTCGGATCAGCGAGGGAGCAGGTGGCCTCCGCGGTCTCTCTGGAGTGGGTTTAACCTTGGTCCTGGTGGTTAGCAACTCAATGTCCACCTGACAGCGCCCCAGGGCTCTTTATCAATCGCAATGCCAATGAATTCAGACTGGCCCCCTGAGGAGTGCGCACCAGCTGCTGTGTGTGGGGGTGGGGGTGGTGTAAGAAGTGACCCCCCTGCTCAGGGGCAGCATCAGGCTGTGGTGAGTGTTCCTTGGGCCAATGAACAGACAGAGTTCGCTCAGGATCAGGGTGGTGCCTTGTACACTGTAAGCATGCTGTGAGTTATGAACTGGGAATTTGGATTTTGGCTTTAAAAACGAATGGAACAAATTGATTTTCTCACGCTTTAGGAAGCTAGACGCCTGAGTTCAGAGCACTAGCTGTAAGGCTTGATTTTCTTTTTGTAATATTGTGGTAAATCTTGTCTGTAACAGCACACTTGTTTCAATTTTTTTCCCCCCTGTGCAATTTAGTGACATCGAGTACTTTCATCACGGGTGCAACCACCACTACTATCTGATTCCAAATTTTCAGTTACCCTTCATAGAAAAAACTCAGTGGCCCTGCAGGAAGGAGCCTCGTCCCACCCCCACCCCAAGCCTCAGGCAACCACTACTCCACTGAGGGTGTGTGTCACCCTGCGATGCGCCCCACTTGGGGGCCTGGCTCTTGGTAAACGCCCCACAAAAGATGGACGCTCTTGTACTGATGACCATTGGAGCCAGGGCAGGAAACCCCTCACTTTCCAGAGATTAACCGGAGCTTCAAGGTCTGCTTCCCTAGCGGTGGGACTGGGATTAGGAGCCCCAGGTCTCTTAGGAGCCCAGGAATTCGCAGTCTCAGAAGTCACCCAGCGCAGCTCGGTCTCACTCGCTTTTTGCTCCCTTGGCTGCCCAGCTTTCTGACACCTCTCCAGCAAATTCTTTCCCCTCTTTCTGAATTCCTGATTTCCTCTTCCAAGTTCCAACACCTTCCTACTGAATTCTAACCCCTCTCTACTCTTCCCTGCCCCCGCCCCCTATCCTCATCTATGGTTGAGAATTCTCCCCAATTCCTGCTCCTCCCGCCTCCCCTGGGCCCTTTCTCTGCACCTCCCCAGGGTTACCTGCTGCTCCGGAAGCTCCCTCTCCAGCAGTTCAGGCTCCCCGGGGCAGGCCTTATCCGGGGCCCTAGATCCCTGGGCTTTATCCATGCCCTGCAGGAGGGGATCCAGAGCTCAGTATTGGGGTGGGAGGGCAGACAGGCTGGCTCCGGGGATCTTTCCAACCCTCCCATAATCCCCTGGGAATTGGGGGTGAGCGGGTGCAGAGCTCTGGTGGTAGGTTGGCGGGCTGCTGGCACTGGCACAAGTGGTGTGGCCAAGCACTGGCCAGTCTTGTTGGTGGTTCTGGGGGCCCAGGTGGTGCTGCCGCACAGGCACTCACCCTCAGGTGGACATAGTCGTAGTCCTCGGTCACTGGGATGCCTGCGTACTCATTGTTGGGTCCTTCTGGGCTATTCTCCACCTGCCCACCCACTGGGTCCCCTTCAGCCTTGGGGGTCCCATAGCCAGGCAGGCGGGGTGGGGGTGGAGGCAGAGGCCGGTCCTGGATGCTGCCCTTGCGGCCTGGGGCAGGGGAGGGGGCTGGAGAAGGGCTGGAGGCCTCGGGGACGGGCAGGGCAGGCAGAGGGCGGCGGGACAGGCTCTCGGCTGAGGGCAGCCGGGGCCTATGTGGAAGTGGTGGGCTCCTGGCCAAAACCAGGGCCAGAGGGTCCATGTCCTTGGAGGCCGAGGCTCCCGGGGGCTCTGGAGAAGGCGGAGCCTCGGGCCCCAGCAGGGGTACATCATAGATGTCCTCCTCGGAGCCCCCGAGGCCCCCTTCAGCCAGCAGTTCCTCGGGGGCTTCGTACAGATTGAGCAGGGCTGATGCCCGTTTCAGGTTGGAAGGGGTGGCATAGAGAGGGGGCCCTGGTTCTCGGCCCCCCTCCCACTCCAAGTCCGTCTCCAGCTCTGGGGGGGGCTTTGGGAGCAGAGGCACATCATAGGGGGCTTCTTCCTCTCCAGGAGGCTGTAGGGCCACCCGGCCCAAAGGGCGGGAGAAGGAGGCAGGGGAGTCATAGGTGTCACTGGAGGGGACCTGGAGGGCGGTGGAGGGCACATCATAGACCTAGAGAGAGGGAATGGGCTAGTTATCTGCAGGCCCCCGAAGGGTCCCCAGGCCAAGGCAGCCCCCCGTCCTCACCTCTAACATAGCTCCGGAGGCAGCCAGCTGGGCCCCACTGCCTCTGGGGATCTTGTAGATGGGGTCCGGGGAGGGTGGGCAGTGCCCAGTCAGAGATCCTGAGCCGGGACAGGGCCGAGCTGGTGGTGGCACCACGTATACCTGGGGAGCAAGATAGGTGGGTGGGTCAGGAGTGAGGGACCCAGGAACCAGGTGATGTCTGGCTTGAAGGAGCTTGGAGGTCTCCCAACCCCCTCCCTGTACTGCCAGGGTTACAGAGCCCAGGAAACAGGGGTGGGGGCAGGGAGTTAGGCTGCCCACCACGAGCAGCCTGTGAAGTGCACCCATCCGAGTGCAGCCCGCCCGCCACATTGCAGGCCTCGGGAAAGCCCTGGGGCTGAGCCCAGACTCTCTAGTCTCACCTCCTGGTCCTTACTGCCATGCTCTGGGGCTGGATATGGTGAGCCAAGCTGGGCTGGGGGTGCCCGGGAGACGCTGGGCTGGGGTGCCGGGGCCGTGGGGAGGAGCTTCACTCTGTTGGCAGGCACGATGCCCTGCTGGCCATGCAGGGAGCAGAGACACCAGCCGTCCAGCCCTCCTGCACCCTCCTGCTGCAGGACCCGCAGGACATCCCCTCGGCGGAAGGACAGCTCCTGGGGGGACTCGGCCGTGTTGTCGTAGAGTGCCCGGGCCAGCTGGGCCTGGTGGGTGAGGTGGGAGTGGGGAGGGGTCTTCATACACACATACCAGATCCTGTCGAAACCCTTCCAAGCTGCCCACACCCTCAGCTCCTGGCTCACTTTTCTTTACCTGGTCCACCCCGTGTCTAGCTTCACCTCCTCCCTGCCCCCCACCCTTCCTTTCTGTTTCCTGAGACAAACTCTTTCCTGCCTCAGGCCCTTTGCATGCGCTTTCTCCCTTACCCAAAGTACTCTTCCCCGCCCCTTGACCTCCCTGACCCTTTTTAATCTTTCGGTTGACATAAGGGTCCCCTTCTCCGTGAGGTCATTTCTCCACCCCTCCTCCAGCCCCGACTCTGTCTCTACACACTGTTGCCTTTATAAGGCAGGTGAACCTGAAGGCCTTCAAAGAGTTCACGGGGAGAACCCATCATCTTTGAAGTCGTTTCTTATGGCCTTTTGGTAGTGTCTGGCTATTCACTTTTGTAAATGTCTTCCCTCATGTTGTAAGTCAGCATAGGAGGTGCCGTCTTCCCAGCACCTGCCTAGGGCCTGGCTCACAGTCAGTCCTCCGAGAGCAGCCGCTGAACGGCTCTCCCCCGCAGCCTTGTATGTGGTTGAGGAGGGGCTGCTAAGGCCTCCTGTAGTCTCCTCTGTGCTCCCTTCTGTTGGTGCTCCCAAGAGCCTAAAGGTCAAGGAAGCAGTTGCAGAGATGCGTCCACCAGAGCAAGGGTGGGAAGGCCGGTCCAGTCGGAGAGCCTGGGCCTTGGGATGCAGAGAACATTAACTGAAGCGGGTGTTTTGTTCTCAGTCTGAGCAAACCTCAGAAGAGGCTGCGGTTGCCATGGAGAAGGGGAAAATGTGCGTACTCTAGCGCGAGGCAAGCTGGCCGGCCGACCGAGACGAGTGTTTATTTCTCAGCCAATTTCCAGTCTGGGAGGCCCATAGGCTCAGGTAATAAGTCACAGATGCGGCCATTGTGGGGAGTCGCTACCGAGTTGATTCTGACTCCAGGCGACCCATGTGTATGGCTCAGAACTGCTCCACGGGGCTTTCTGAGCTATGATCTGAATGGAAGTGAATCAGGCCTCGCTTCTGAGGTACTGCGGGATGGCTTTGAACCACCGATCTTTAGGTTAGCAGTCTAGCCCAACTGTTTGGGCTACCTCTCAAAAACCAACCTCCTACCATCGAGTCATTTCTGACTCTTAGAGACCCTATCGGACAGGGCAGACCTACCCGTGTGGGTTTCCAAGACTGGACATCTTTGTGGGAGTAGAAAGCTTCATCTTTCTCCTGAGGGTGGCTGGTAGGTTTGAACTGCTGACCTTGAGGTTAGCAGCTCAGTGTGTAACCACTATGCCACCAGGGCTCCTTTAATCAACCACAGAGGCTCTTGTGTGACGCTTGGAGGATGGATCCTAACTCAGAGACCCAACTGGGCAGAGATGGAAGTGCTTTCAGGCTGTAATCTTTATGGCAGGAGAGGACCAGGTCTTCTCTCCTTGACCAGGGGCCCTGGGAGGTGGTGTAGCCATAACGAGTTGGGCTGCGATCTGAAAGGTCCCATGTTCTAAACCACCAGCAGCTCCTCTGGAAAAAGACAGGGCTCCTAGTCCCATGAACAGTTACAGTCTTGGAAACTCCCAGGGCAGTTCTACCCTGTCCTATAGGGTCAGTGTGAGTTGGCATCAACTCAATGGCAGCGAGTGTGTTTTCTCCCTGGGGTGGTGGCTGGTGGGCTCAAACTGCTGGCCTTTCAGTAAGCAGCTGGAGCAGCAGCAGCTGGAGCAGCCGGACAGAATCCACGGTGCCACCGGGGCCCCTGACGTCAGATACTGAGCGCCAACTAAATGTCCAGACACTGTTTCCACTATACAGTTCTTATCTCCTTTAAGCCTCACAGCCACTTACGGAGGGAGGGAGGGAGGGGCCACCACTACTTCCATTTGGAAAGGAAATTCTGAACAGCCGGTATTGCCCAACGATGCCCAGGCTGTTAGGGTCCAGAGCGTGCATTTAATCAGGCTCTTAATCATTTGCTTTCCTGCCTCGTCACAATCACTCATGTACAGGCCGACTTCTATTTAGTTTTCAAATTCATGAGCAGTGGTTGCTTCGAGGGAACCCATGACTCAACCGTGAGCCAAGAGCATCTGAAGGCTCCAGGCCGCCCGTTTCCCTTTGCGGGCAGGACCCGTCCCAATGCTTGCTTCCAGCCTCACCTTGGGTGGAATCAAGCTTAACACACTCAACATGCCAACTCACCTCTGCCCTGATGACCAGATGACGGAGGGTCACACTGGGTCCAGGCAGGGGAGGCTTCCTTCGGTGGGAAGGTAGAGGCTCAAACAAATTCACTGCCCCCAAGCCAATTTGGGCTCGCAGTGATCCCAGAGGACAGGGTAGATAACACTGCCCCTGTGGGGCTTCTGAGTAGAAAGTCTCATCTTTCCCCCGGGGAGCGGCTGGTGGTTTCGAACTGTTGACCTCCTGCAACCCATTATGCCACCAGGGCTCCTTAGTTAGGGTCTGCTGACCAGGTAGGCAACAGAGCGCTGACCAACTCAATACGAAAGCTCAAGCGGCGGCCCTCAGGCCCTGGGGAGAATGCCCTTCTGGTGTGAGTGGGCCCCTCTCCCTCTTGGTGGGTGGGTTCCCCTCTTCCTTCTGGAGAGATTGTCCGGCACTTCATGGCTGGGTGACTTGACCAATAAACTAACTTCTCTGCTTGTCTGATTCCAAACCATTTTCTGGTTATAGTTTGACTTCAAAAAGCTATTCAATTCTGGCTAGACTGGAGCATGTGCACAGGTACAGATAAGAGATTAAGAGTTTTCCACACACGGAATCCAGGAACAGGAATGGGAGTAGCGATACTAGGAGGGTAGGGGACAAAGTGGGGAGGGGAGGAACCGATCGCAATGATCAACACATAATTACACCACCCCCGCCCAAAGGAAATCAGTAACTGTGGGGGAAGGGAGACAGCGGTCAGTGTAAAATATGAAAATAATAATTTATAATTTATCAAGGGGTCACGAGGGTGGGGGAAGGAAAAATAGAGGCACTGATACCAAAGGCTCAATAGAAAGTAATGTTTAGAAAATAATGATGGCAACTTATGTACAAATATGCTTGATACAATTGATGTATGTTTTTTTTTAATCATTGTATTGGGGGCTTGTACAACTCTTATCGCAATCCATACATAAATACATTGTGTCAAGCATATTTGTACATTTGTTGCCCTCATCATTCTCAAAACATTTTCTTTCTACTTGAGCCCTTGGTATCA